AGACCGGATCAAAAAACTGCGTCCAATGTATTCCTATGGTATTTTGAGCTCCAGTTCAAATCGCAGCGTGCAGATCCAGAGCAGGTGAAAAAACTGCGGCAAGCCCTATTTTACCTGCTCTGGAACGCATCAAAACCACATGCAAGTGTCTGAAAGCCCATGTTAAACTTTAAAAAAAAAAAATGGCCCGGAACGCATCAATAGCGTGGCAAAAACGCATCAAAAACGTGGCACAACCCACTGCACGTGCAGAAACCTGACTGGATCTGCTCTGCATTTGGTATGAACAAGGCCTTAAGGTTTCCACAAAACTGCTTGAAGCTAGTTGTACACACTGCTCTTATACGAGCTGAAGCCCATGTGAGTAAGGCCTAAAAAATAATTGGGGGTGGCAGCTTACTGATGGAGAAGGACTGAATGTGTCTGACTGCCTTGCAATGCCCAACACAGACTCGCACTTGTCTTTTTTCTTCGGTATTCTACCCAGCCCTACTGAAATTCTACGTAGCACTGGACAATCTATGCCAGGGGAAGCCAAACTCCGGCCCTCCAGCTGTAGGGAAACTACAAATCCCATGATGCATCTCTCTATGGGGGTCATGTCTGTCGCTCATGGGATTTGCAGGAGGGCCGGAGTTCGGCTACCCCTGATCTAAGCATTGGAAAATGGTTGCATTGATTTACCCATGGTTTTTGATGCACTGATGCACAATTTATTCCTCTTACATAAGATTTTATGTAAAACTACAGGAATCCTTTAAAAACAGACCTACCAGAAAAAGCTAGCAAACCAAGAAGGCTGTCCTTTACCTGCCATTCATATGCCTTTTCATATCAAAGCAGAGTGGACATGTATTCCGATGTGGAATAGGGCTTTATACATACATGCTGCCTATTCTAATCAACACACTGCAGTTTGACAGTGAAGAGCATATGGAAATGCAAACATGTTTCCCTACACCTTTGCTTAGAGGAGACACACGTGACTGTGAACTTTGACATAAGGCATTTGTGGAAATTGCCAAAGTAAGCAACATGCTCACAACTAAAACCAAACACAAAAAGGGGTCTATTTATAAACAATTACTTATAAAATAAATACTTATATCCTGTGCTCCTCAGCTCTGTCTAGTGGCCATAATGCACTATTACAAGATGACCTTTGAAAATGAATTAGAAAATACATTGACAATATATAAGAACATTTGTTTTGTGCAACCATTTGCACAGAACAAACATTTACAGAGATTCGCAGGGCAGACAGATCTGCAAATTGTTTATAAATAGACCACAAACCTTTTAAACAGAGATGCGGGTGTGACCACTAGAGGAAGTAGTGGACCCTACTTGTGAGGTCATGGACCAATCACAACTGCATCCTTTACAGGTTTCTTTAGAACCTGTAACTAGTAAGGCCTGGTTCACACTAAGCATATTGTCACAGCTGATTCAGTGTGACAAAAAGTCTCCCCGCAAAAAAAATCAGATTAATTCTTATGGCCCCTATTCACACCTGAGCATTTTGTCGCAAAAAGCAAAAACGCCCATCACTGGAAGAAGTACACAAGCTTCTTTTCGGCAGATTACAGCTTGATTTGTCCTGATAGAGCCAATAGGAAAACACATGTTGCAATTGGTTTTGCAAATTTTTTACGTTTTTGCCATTGACTTTAATGTGTCACAATCTGCTCATAAAAATGCACACAACATTACACACATAGGTGTTAGCCCTCGTTCACACCTGAACGTTTTGTAGCACGTTCTACGCTCGACGAACGCTCTACAAAACGCTCAAAAATATAAATCCCATTGTATTCAATGGTCTCGTTCCCACCTTGGCGTATTTCCGCCCGTCCCTAACGCGCTACAAAATGGCCCACGCCTGAAAAGGTACATGTACTACTTTGGGCCATTTTGTTGCGCGTTTCCATTGGGATATAGCCAAGTAGCCTTCGGAAACGCGCGACGGTCGCGCGGCTTTTTACCGTGAATCGCGGTAAAAAACCGCGCGACAGACGCACATATGCAATACGCCTAGGTGTGAACGAGACCTTAAGGTGTGTGCAAGTCTGGTATGAACACAGCCTTGAAGTACCACTAGTAAATGTACACATGCGAAAACTAGATCTAATTGAACACTGCTCTTCTGAAGAACACTATGGGGGAATATATCAAAACAGAATATGGAGCAGTTGTCCAAGGTAACCACATATCTCTTCAGTTTGTTCAGTTAAGGGGCAGGTCCACGAAGACCTGTGCACAGAAAAAGTGGGGTAAATGATGCTGGCCTTTAGACCGAGGTCATCTATGGCAGGAAAAAAAAAAAGTACTGCAGAGAAAATCTCCGTCGCGGAGGCAATATTTTTTTTTAGCGAGCTATTCATTCTTATCTTGATGTTTTTGGTTGGAGTTCTTCAACACCGTGTTATATAACAAATATTGTAACAAGGGAGAAATCAAATATTGCTGATGTCCTGCAGAGACAGAAGGGCACAGGCCACAAGGAGACCCTGTCTGTCCTCCCATCTAACATCTCCATAATAATCCACAAAGTGATTATTGAACAAGCGTCGGAAAAAAAAAAACACAGCCACACATCTGGCTACCGTATAAGTTTTATGTCCAGCTACATTTTAAGACAAGGCATTCTCTCAAAGAGCACCACACTCTTAACCATGTGAACAAACCTTTTTTTCAAAAGCAAACAAAGTGTAGTTTAGTGTTCCCCTGCTGACAGTTATACAAATGTTATTGTTGATCTTTTTGGCCACTTATAAACACTGAGGAACTTTCAAGATGTCTAAAACCGTACAAATACAACTGCTGAGAGTCTCTTAAGGTTGAATTGTGAGCAAATCAGTTTAGGAGGTGTTATATAGCACATGTAGAGTCCTACCTCAAATCACATCTGCTGTTTTCCTCCATAGCAGCAGTGTTCAGTAATCCTATTAGAAAGGTGTCAATTTCAGTGCTTTTGTCATTTATATTCCAGTGAACATGACCGGTAGGGACTGCACTATGTGTGGTGAGAGAGGTCTCTCCTGCAGTCCTGCAAAGGCATACCTGGTGTGATTACACCAGCATTGCCTGGAGGGGAGGACCGAGTCACTATCTCCCCAGTCTTTTCTTCATCAAGACACATCCCCTTAGTTTGATGTGTCCCCTTAGGACATGGTAATTAAATGGGAGTTTGAGATGGTCAGTGCCCCTCACAGCCTCTGAGAGGTAAACGGACAGACACAGGCAAAAGAAGGTTGTGATGATAATGCAACCAAACTGCATGCCTTCAAGGGGAAGGGTGGGAAAAAAATGTAAAGACCTATTGATACGATCCCAAAATTGGGAGGGTAATAGAAACGGACCAAGATAGTATAACATTGCAGGAGGACCTGGATAAAATAGGGGAGTGGGCAACTATATGGCAGGTGAGGTTTAATGTCAATAAATGCAAAGTTATGCACTTTGGGATTAAAAATAAGCAAAATGGGTTATACCATAATGGTATGCCGCTAGGGAAGTTGGAAATGGAGAAAGATTTGGGGGTCATTGTAGACCATAAACTGAATAATAGATTACAGTGCCAGGTTGCTGTAAGCAAAGCTAGTAAAATCCTGTCCTTGATGGACTTAGGTCTTTATTCAACCTCAAATACTATGTAACTAGGGATATCCCAATACTGATAGTAGTATTGGTATCAGGGCCGATACATGGCATTTTCACGAGTACTAAAAAAGGCAGATACTGGCCCTTTAGTTTTAAACAAGAGTAGCGGTCTGAGGTCCTGCGCTTGCTGGGGACCTTGCGGCAATGGTCTTTGACAGCGCCGGTCCTATCCCACATATCTTTCTGCTCCTTTTTGGCACCCGCCGAGAACAGCACAGCACTGGACAGCCCCACACCCGCCATACAGCTCTGGAGCCCAGCACAAACTGTCACCCACCCGTATAGCCCTGCAGAGCCCAACATCCACCTGGAGAGCCCTGGTGAGACCCTGCACGCAGCCCTGGTGAGATCAGCACGCAGCCCTGTATAATCATGAATTGATGTGATCTGTAGCCCTCTTTTGCTGGATGCAATTCTCCATTGCTAGATAATCATGGATTGCTGAGATTTGTAGTCCTCTATAGCCAGTTGCCATTCTCCATTGCTGTATAATCAATGATTATACAGCAATAAAGAATGCCAACTAGCTATAGAGAACTACAAATCTCAGCAATCCATGATTGAGGGTTGCCATTCTCCATTACTGAATAATCATGTATTGCTGAGATTTGTAGTCCTCTGTAGCTGGTTGCCATTCCCCATTGCTGTATAATCATGGATTTAGTTACAGTTCTTCAGAATTATAAAGAAACTTCTAATAATAATTAAAAAAAAATTTTAAAGTCCCCCGCGACACCCTAAATGCCCCTCTGATTTCATAGGCTAGCTAGACAGGGCCATGCATTACAAATGGCATCTGCCAACCTGCTGCAAATGCTTCTGGTAAAGCTGGATGTTGGAAGTTAAGTAAAATCTCCTCATGCAAAGCAAAAGCACGCAGAGATTCTAGGCATATATTCAATGTCATTGTTCAAGACTGTAATCTGACTACGGAAAGTAATTTTTCTGGACAAAAAGACAATTTGCGTAAAGCAGGCAAATTCGAAGGAAACCACTCAAACTCCGATGAGCACTAAAGATGCGGGAAGTCTATGGATGCTTCAGCCTACAAGAGGGTGGATCCCCTCAATGGGGAGTCAGACAGGAAAAAAAAGAAAAACAACTTGACAGGAGGGTCTAACACTTGCCTACACTCTGAAAAAAAGGTTTTCCCTAGAGATATACATTTAAAAGTAATTTGCCTGGCAGTATGAACAATATCTTTAAGAATTATACATTGAAAAACTTAAAATCCACTTAAATAAACATGCCATGTTGGAAACCTTAATTTGTTTTTAAGAACCCCAAAAAGGGGCAGAACATGGAATGCACATAAGAGCAAAGAAGGCATCACCTACCTCTGTAACGTCCATGACTTTGATAGCTGCAAGTTGGCCTGTTTTGACATGTCGACCCTAAAAATTACAGGAAAAAAAAAAAAAAAGAGAAAAGATTAATGTTGTATTCTTTGATAGCGTACGTATTTCTTCGATTTATTAAACACTGGAGCAACACTAAACATTTGAATTGTACATTTTCTCACAAGTGCACTTGTACATGTTTAGGAAGAAAGCTACCTGTTCATCTTTGATACACTTCCATACATGGCTGCAGATCATCACTACCACACTATAAGCAGTAATCACAGTGAAAGATTGCCCTGTTCACTGCCTGGGATATCAACACACCTAAAGCACTAAAATCACACCACTTGTCTATAAAAAGTACATAGATTTAGACTTTGTTTACAGAAAATTACAAGGTATGATTTGCCTGTTGCAAATCTCAATTACAGTGTTCATAAAACCCCTAACACCACGCAACATGGGAGTGAAGACAAAAGGTTATAAAGAAGTACCTGAAGCCAACAAGAACACATCCAATCCAGGAAAAGAAATGCTCGGTCTAGATACAAGCGCTTTCGGGGTCTCAGCAGTACCCCTTCATCAGGCTCAGAATCATTCTGAGCCTGATGAAGAAGGGGTACTGCTGAGACCCCGAAAGCGCTTGTATTGGATGGCGATTTGTCAATAAAGGACTTTATGCTTCAAAACTTTTGGTGTGCTGGTGACAATACTTTCTAGATCTGCATTGTTCACGGGGCCGTCCGTGGTCACTACAAGCACCCACCTGCTTGGCAGGTTTACCACTATTCCGGTAAGGAGTGCATCTGGTTCTTGACTAAATGTAGTTATAAACCTGTCATTTTGTACCTGTGTCAGGTTATTATAGGTAAACATATTACAATCAATCCAGAATACAATTAGTGGCTGCTTTTAGGTAATAATAATAAAATGATGAGTGGAAAATTGTGAATGGAACCTCTCTTAACTACATTATTTACAGAGGTAAAAAATATAAAACAATTTTAAAGATCATGGTAACCTATGTGCCAACCAATACAATATATATAATTTATATTCTAGGACAGCAGCGGCCTTAGATGTGCAGAAGGAGGGAGATGCCTGATCATAATCAAGTCATCAAATTCAAAAGACCCACTTTGTTAGTCGGCACAAACACATTATTTTCATGTGTGAAGAGTAAAAGAAAAAAAATCAGCTCTGTCTGCAGGACATTTTCCGACTTTTACTATCCCTGTAATATTCTGCCTAGAATTTACTTTTCAGCTAAAATGCTTCATAAAAAAAAGTCTTCTACATGATCATCTGAAAAAAAAAGTTTCCAAGGGCTATTTCACACAAACCTCAAAAGGGTGTGCTTGGCATAGGTTTTAAACAACAACCAAATAAAAAAAATACACAGAGCCAAAACGGTCAATACACACATGCAATGTTTAAGTCAGTGTGGTGTGATTATTGTCAGGCCATCCTTTCTCAGTACCCCCTCCTGTCCGAAGAGCATCGAGCAGGACACAGCTTGCACAACATGGAGCACTGCATGCCGCCTGAGGGCCAATTCATATCACAACAGGCCTGGTAATAGCTGCTGTGCTAATATTCACTGCCATGAGCCTTTAAATACTTTTTGTTCTGGGGTCTGAAGGCTCCACCATTAACAAAACTTTAATGGGACAGAATAGGGCAATGCATACCAAAGTAGGCCTTTTCCTAACATGCTGCAGCACCGTAGTATCAACAATTCCTTTAGAAAATAGCTACATTTTGGTTTGTGCAATCTGCCTACAGTGTTACATGCAGGAACAAAGAGAAATGTAATTAGAAGATGTTGTAGGAAGTGTCCTCGCATAGGAAAAGCATAGGTTCACTTTAGAGAACTGCACCCATCAGAGGGGCTGTGAAAGCCCCATAGGGGGTCAGTAATTACCTGATTATACTGCTGGATGCTCAAAATCAGGAGTATTGCTTGCTATTGTTAAGGTGCCCACACACCTTACAATTAGCTGCAGATTTTCTGTGGTCAGATGGAAAAAGTGCAACAGATTTAGCCCAGGTGGAGATTACTCCTTCCACACAGTTAAGTGTAGATGGAGGAATCTGTTGCACTTTTTCCATCTGACCACAGAAAATCTGCAGATAATTGTAAGGTGTATGGCCAGCTTTAGGCTATTAAGGGGAACCCGGACATTAGGATCTTTTGTACTGATGTCAAAGAAAGCATACTTAATTGTCTGGTTCTTGAATTCCACATTAATTCACACAAACTAAGTAAATGTTATCCACCATATATTCTATGTAGCACAGATAAAACAAAAACTGGGAAAATTATAGCCAAGTACTGCAAAATGTAGATTGAGGTCAGCATGGGGTTGCACTGTAGCTTCAGTTGCTCTCTGCAATTAAAATATAGATTGGCAGTGCCTCAAGACAACATTTGTAATGAATGTCTATAAACAGGCAGAATTACGTTCAATTCTAGCTAATGTTGCATTCACACCTAACAGAGTGTATGCCTAGCAATCTGGAAGATTTATTTGCAGGTTTTTACACATGTAAACGTACATTTCTTTTTTTTTTTTTTTAAGTGGTTTGAAAGCTTTATACAAGTGTTTTTGCATGTGTATCAAGCTTTGAGTATTTTTTTGTTTTGGCCAATGAAAAGCTGCTATAGAGGAGAGCAGTTCTGCAGACAAATAAACACTTGTATCGCATGTTTACAGGGGTCTCCATACATGTCTATGGGGCCAAAAATGCACAACATTGCTCCAGAAAAAAGCTCATGTACATGTTCGGCTTCAAGCAACTGAGTGTAGACATATGAACAGCCATAATAGAAAAGAATGGAATTCTGATGTTGAGCACTGTCACGCTTTGGGAAATGCACAAAAACGCAAAACCTGCATGGCAAAACACTTAGGTGTGAATGGGTCTAAAAGTAAATTACGGAGCACACTCTTGTGATTCACACACCCCTGGTCATCTCAATGTTTCATGTATTAGGTAAACCGGACCTATACAAAAACTATCCTGACCACCCTGTCCTTTGAACTTTCTTGGAGGTGGCCTTTTAACTTCTGATTTGGTGACGTGTTTCCTGTCTGAGGGGAGGAACCTCCATCTCTCACATGCTGTTCTGCAAGATGACTGAGGTTTAGAGGAGGCTACGTCACCATGGCAGTTGCATGGGATGGGGAGTGTCTGTGGCACTGTGCGTAATAATTTCAAATACCTTCTTAGCCATTACCTAGCTGTAGTGCAGGAAGAAAAGGCCCCTTTAAACCTGATCAGGCTTCTTAACACACCTCTTTAGTGGTGGTTTGTGCCATGGGCATCCTGGGGGTCTTCAGCTCCTCTCCAGTCCTGAGGTCAGCTGTTGGGGGGCTGCAGCCTGACAACATTTACCAGACAAAGTAAGGAGAGCTCTTGAACAGTAATAAACCATTTACATTGCACTAATGCATGGTATCCATGCATTTAGTGCATGCCATCACACAGACAGCCATACATCACGCTTGAAAAAAGTAGTGCACTGAAAAATACTAGAAGGTGGTCCAAGGTTTACGAACTTTCTATGGACCACTAAGGCCTAAACGTCATCTGTTTGCATATAATGTAAAGGTTAACACAAGCATTACAAGAGTGTAGTTTGGCATCTTGCATACAAGCTCCATAGGTGTGTACCGATACTTCCAATGCCAGGAGCTGAATCATTATTTGTGGTCAACTGTCTTATGATCATCACAGCAACAAGAGGCACCACACCAAGCCAACCAAAGAAAAGTACTTTACTGTGTGGAATAATAGGCATGCACAGCAGAATCACTAAACAAGCAGACTGTAACACTCTTTATTTCTACAGATCTGCAAGCTTTTCTTAAAGTGACACTAAACTCAGGAGTTGGATCTTAAGTGGACCTTTAACCCCTTCCACTAAAAGTTACATCAGCATGCAGCTCTGCAAGCCGATTTAAAGTCCTATTACATTCATTAGTTAAACAAACATGTTTTTCCTTTACTTACACATAGAGTTAATCTACTTCCTGGTCCATTTTGGCACAAATGATGTAATTGTGCCCAAGCGTTCCATCCTGGGAAGGTTACATCACCAGAGCATTGCTGGGAAATCTCATCTGTAATCTCATGAGATCTCAGCGAAAGGCATTTTCCACCCCTGAGATGATGTGCATGGTCACATGTCCTATTCACATATACCAGCGGTCCAGAAGGGAGATATATTAACCCAACCTCAGTTAAAAAGCCCAATGTGATTAGACTGGGGGGGAAGAGAGAAATAAGGTATGTAAAAAATAAAAAGGCTGCAATTATCTATAAATCTGCGTTTGTAGATTGCCATTACTAAACATTTCTAAAAGGTGCCTTTGTTGTTATTTTGAACATATGTGTAACCCCCGTCACCTTTTGTGAGGTGGCTACTAGCAATTTGGTGATTGCCAGGACTGTAGCCAGTCTGGCTGGATAATAGTTGGCATTTGCTTGGTTAATTCCAGGTGTCTGGCATTGACGGAACCCACCTGGGTGGAGTGTGACTCTACAGTATTGTGGGACACCTAATGAGAGGCAGTGTGAGTGTATGTACAGTACAGCAGCCAATCAGTGGGTTTCTTTCAACCGGTGGTGCATGCTGGGATAGGGTACTTTTACTGGAGGGAATCGCCATGTGCTCAGGCTACTCAGGACCAGCCATGGATTAGCACTGGACTGGGTGCTGTCCAGCCACCCCCCAGGCTAGAACTGAGGGTGGGCAGAGGTTTGCAGTGTGGAAAGTGTTTCCCTGGGCCTCAATTATGGAGGAGGCCTGTGCTGTTGCCAGAGAAAGAGAACCAGGAAAGTGGATGGCTACTGAAGGTACTCAGAATCCAGATGACCACCTAAGCATGGTTGGCGTCTCTCCTGCTGGGGATTTATGCTCATCCCTGCTCATTTGTTACTTCAATCACTATTTGCCGTACCATAAATGGATCTACACTGAGATGCTAACAAAAGGTAAGGCAAGTCTGGAGTCTATGTCTGGGATCCCTATACACTCTCTTCCC